CGACAAAAGCCTCACCACGTCAAGCAGCAGTTCTAGGGCATAATTTAGGGCAAAATCATTAAGGAAAAAGACGTCTTATCTGAAATCGTCGGCGGATGGCGTAGGCTGGAGCTGCGGCATCGATGTGCCATGGTGTGGCGTGGGTATCTAGTGTCTGCTCCATGGCGGCGGCCAGTGGCTGCGGGCGATTAGGTTTCCAGGAGATCAGGCGAAAAAATAGGAGGCTACAGGCGAGGATGGACGATGGTCATCGTGCGTGATCAGCGTGGGTGATCGATCTCTCCCAAACGTGATCAGTGCACGTAACGTAGGCCCAATTATCATTATTTACGAACTAGAGCCCAATTGTATTAACAGGGAAGAGCACAAACCTGGGGGGCCCCCATTTTCGGGGGCCCGGGGCGGCCGCCCCCCTGCCCCCCCATCAGGGCCGGGCCTGGATGGACCCAATGGGTAATGGCTGAATGTACAAATTGAATGCTCCATGCTTCTGCTTAAGATATCACTTCTAGAGCTGCAAAAAAAAACTCAAGGCTCATGAGCCGGTCGAGATCGACTCGTATTTTAGCTCAACTAGAGATCGACTCGAAAAGAAATGAGCTGAGTATGAGCATTTTGTGTAGCTCGATGGAGAAACGAGTTGATCTTGAGCCTACATTAGCTCGCTCGATTCTAGCTCGATAGATTGATATCATACAAGTATATTAAATAATCTTCATGTCTATTATGAAGAATTTAGGATCATCCATTGCCATATATGTTATGTATGATATTATTTCTTCATTTTACCTACTAGCAAATATTGAAATTAAGCGTGGAGAAAATTTAGCCTCAATATGACATGTGGCCAACCTTGTGTTCAATATATTGTTATTTTGGCCACCTTTGTTGTCTTCTATCCACGATCTCTTGTTATTAAATACTAGTCATAAGTTAACAAAGAATAAGTCTAATTTTATACTGATATTTTCTGTTGTGACCTATCTTACTTTAAAATTTGCCATAAAATAATTCGAAAAATCGTCTTATTTAGCTGGAAACTAGGCCGAGATCAACTCGAGATCGTTACTAGTTGAGCATGAGCCACTTTCTACAACTTGACCTTGAGCTTCGCACATTTTGGGTCCGTTCGAATTTTAATATGAGTTGAGCTGAGCTTAGGTCAACTCGCTCGAACTCGACTCGTTTGCAGCCATAATCACTTCCATGTAAACAATCAATTGATGTGGTATAGAATATGTATCCTCAGCTCTCAATCTGAATCAGAGCTGAAAGTTAACTATGAATCTCTGAAAGCTTCAGACTTGACCTGTCCTTACTACCAAGTCAAATGGGAAGCTATATCTATAGTATATAGTAAGCATTTAAAGTTCAAATCAAATCAGAGCTGAAAGTTCACAAACAACAATTTCATAACAAGCTATCAATGTGATTTCATCTTGATCCGTGTGCATGATCAGATCGTGGTGTGTAATGCAAAAGTGATTCGTGTGTAATGTATAGTCATGCGAGCATATAAGAAACAAAAGGATGTTCACAGGATTGTCCGCCAAAATTTCTCCACTAACAAGGGTCACCTGGGACGAGCACAGCAATTTTTATCCCAGAATCTCAAAAATACAAGCGGTTATCAATGTGCAGAAGCTAATCCATATTTTTCCCTTCATTTACCTATTCCTGTCTGGATCACAATGACTCTAAAATAGTTCCATATGTCTGAAGAAAGAAAACAGAATAACTGAACATTCATTACTGACACCGTGAGAAACAGAGATAAAAATTCAGCATACACAGATGGGACATCATGGGGTCTAATTAATCTAAGCAAGTCACTACGTCTTCGTGCCAGTTGACTTAACTTTTACAGAAAATACATGACATGCATGAATTAACACAATGTTCAAATTACATAATAGTCATGAGGGAACAAAATGTTCAAATTAATTCCTACTCCACTACAGCGCTGACCAGTACATGGTGCATAGAACTTAAAGCAAAGAAGCCGTTCTGCATCTCAGCCATCAAAACAGTAACTCCAGGTACCTGCAGAACAACCAACGCCATATCAGCCAAACACCGAGACCAACCTGTAACTATTCTTTGTTTGCTACAGTGGGAAAAAGTCAGCCTAAAAGATTTTCATTTTGATAAAACAAGATTGAGATACAACACAGCAGCTACAACAGGTAGCACCCAACATACACAAGTGACAGGGAACAACAGAAGAACAACCAGAAACGAGCTATGACAAGCAGCCAAAACCAAGAATTTAGCACCCATCACCACTGGGCAGATCGCGAAGAGCGGGAACCGCCATCACAAATAGAGGGAACCAGAGCACTATGCAATGCAACAAAACCTCAGGCGCCTTCAAAGGGCACTAAACACCTGAGACCTCACCATCAACCATCAGCACCAGGATGACCAAGGGATAGGTCAACCATACCAAGGCACCGGTTGCCGCCACAGATCATTCCACCGCACAAGAGAAGGATCTGAGGCTTTCGCCCAGAGCACAGGAAAGAGCGGGCAACGGTAGCTCTCAAATGATGCCTCCATGAAGGGAAGCGGCGCCCGAAGGCGTCGCCATCATCGTTGCCGACAAGGTTGGCACTAGGCTTTCGCCTGAGGCATCCCATCCTTGTCATCTCACAACTTCGGTATGACTCAGGCAGTTAGCATTCCTTAAATATCACTATGGAACTAGTGCCAAGTGCTCAAAGCTGAATCTTCTCAGCATTATTGGACGAAACCAACAATAGAAATTACGAACATCAATAAGAAGACAGTGGTTTGTTGAAAATAAATAAATAAATTTGTACTGATAAATTAGAGGCATAAGATATCGCGACCAACTCATGGTTCTGGCACATGGATAGCAAGCTTCCACGCACCCCTATCCATGACTAGTTCTCTGGTGATACTCCAGTCCTTCAGACCACTCTTTACGGACCCCTCCCATGTCAAGTTCGATCTACCCCGACCTCTCCACAATATCAGCACACTTTAGCCGTCCGCTATGCACTGGAGCTTCTGGAGGCCTGGGCTGAATATGTCCAAACAATCTCAGACGATGTTGGACAAGCTTCTCTTCATTTGGTGCTACCCCAACTCTATATCGTATATCATCATTCCAGACTCCGTCATTCCTCGTGTGGCAACACATTCATCTCAGCATGCGCATCTCCACCACACTTAACTGTCGAACATGTCGCCTTTTAGTTGACCAACACTCAGTGCCATACAACATTGCGGGTCGAGCCGTCGTCCTATAGAACTTGCCTTTTAACTTTTGTGGCACTCTCTTGTCACAAAGAATGCCAGAAGCTTGGTGCCACTTCATCCATCGGGCCTTGATTCGATGGTTTACATCTTCATCAATATCCCCATCCTTCTGTAGCATTGACCTCAAATATCGAAAGGTGTCCTTCTGAGGCACCACCTGCCCATCAAGGCTAACCTCCTTCTCGTGCCTAGCAGTACTGAAACCGCACCTCGTGTACTCGGTTTTAGTTCTACCAAGTCTACAGCCTTTTTGATTCCAAGATTTGTCTCCATAGCTCTAACTTCCTATTAACCCTCGTCCAACTATCATCGGCTAGCAGCACATCATCCGCAAAGGGCATACACCATGGGATATCTTCTTGTATATCCCTTGTGACCTCATCCATCACCAAAGCAAAAATATAAGGATTCAAAGCTGACCCCTAGTGCAGTCCTATTTTAATCGGGAAATCATTGGTATCGCCATCACTTGTTCGAACACTTGTCACAACATTATCGTACATGCCCTTGATGAGGGTAATGTACTTTGCTGGGACTTTGTGTTTCTCCAAGGCCCGCCACATGACATTTCGTGGTATCTTATCATGGGAGTTCTCTAAGTCAATCAACACCATATGTAGGTCCTTCTTTTGCACCCTGTATCTCTCCATAAGTTGTCGTACCAAGAAAACGGTTTCCATTGTCGACCTCCTAGGCATGAAACCAAACTAATTTTTGGTCACGCTTGTCATTCTTCTTAAGTGGTGCTCAATGACTCCCTCCCATGGCTTCATTGTATGGCTCATCAGCTTAACTTCACGGTAATTAGTACAACTCTGTACATTCCCCTTGTTCTTGAAGATTGGTACTAATATGCTCCATCTCCATTCTTCCGGCATCTTATTTCCAAAAAAAATGAGGTTGAAAAGATTGGTTAGCCATACTATCACTACGTCCCCGAGGCCTCTCCACACCTCAATGGGGATACTAGTATGCCTTCTATTGTTAACATATCCTCAAGTTTCTTGCTTTGATCTAAGAAGCTACATGACAAGGTTTATGAGTCGACGAGTCGTTACGAGGTTGAGACTCATAGACTAAGCGTGACTAATCGACACTAGTCGACACATAAGTTGCGACTCATAGACTAGTCGACACTGGAGTGTAGTCGGCCCTGGAGTTGAGGCTCATAGACTAGTCAACAGACTAGTCTTGACTAGTCCCTGGACTCATAATCCATTCTACATGATCAATGGCCTTGGAGTCAAACACTGAACAACCTACCTTATGATAGTTTAAAACATTATGTTATGATGTGCATGTGCATATGACTACGAGGGGCTCATGTAGTAGTAAACGAAAAAATTTGATTTTTAGCTGATGGGCATATATGTTGATACTACTTTGGTCCAAATACAAGTCCATTTTTATAAGACTATCCACAGCATAAAAGGCAAAACTTTGACCATTACTCTTGATAATACGATATGAAACATGACGAAGTGCAATTTTGTTGAAAGCACTTTCAGTGACGAATCTAGCCATGTAATTTTTATATCATGTGTTCAACAAAAAATTTAAACACCTGTGGTAACTAAAACAGAAGAAATCAGACTGCACATAAACCATGCAATAATATGTTTGGATCAGGCTCAGGCAAAGTATATTATAGGCTAATGGCCAAATGACCAATTACATGAGCACAGTTAGACAGACAAACTAATATATGAAGAGAAAATATTTAAGCAAACCAGCTAAATAGCATTATTGTCCATAAGAAATTAGTAATGCAGGCAAAACAACAAATAGTAGTATAAGATCTAATGAGGACATGCTCTTGGAGTATTGTAACAGTCTAAAATGTAGCACTAGGCATTATAACAATCCCAAATCAGCAGCAAGGTTAAATGGCATAGCTATAAGCCTGCACAAGCAAAGGAATTTGAAACCAACTGCTAAGAGATTTTTTAGTTACCAATTACTTGCGTAGAGGGATAACATAAAAATCAAAATAGAGGACTTGATAGATCCATGACCACATAAAAATATAAAAATCAAAGGCAATGTACCAACCAGTAAAAGTAAGACCAGAAAATGTTGAAAAAGCATAGTAAAGGGAAGTATTTATTCTGCTACTACTTAGCATTGCATTCTCATCTATGAGGAGGCACGAACACAGCAATAAGGAATGGGAAAGGTTCCCAAGTCAACTGTCATCTGGGAATCTAGAGGGAGAGAAGCACTTGCATTATCAGAAGGAACTGGAGAACTAAGGATGAAGAAGGGAGGGCAAGCTAAAGAGCAAATCCAGTAGCTGGGTAAGAGCATCTCCAACAGGCGCCCAACGCGCCGCGCGGTAAAAACGGATTTGACGCGCGCCCATCGCCTGGTTTGATGCCGCGCGCAGCGTTTGCTCCAGCAGCCGCGCTGAAAAGCCGCGCGGGCGCAGCTCCAGCAGGCGCAGTAAAATGCAGCGCCCGCGCTCATTCTATAATATATTTTTAATTAAAATTGCATAGATAAAAAAAGCGATACATAGATATTTTACATCGGTGCAACTACTACGGCATAGATGATAGATAGTTCAACATACATAGATAGATAGATAGAAACTACTACGGCATACATAGATAGAAAACTACTCTAAGTCGCTACCATCACCATCGTCATCCTCGTCGGTGTCGTCCGAGGTTGAGAGCCATACGTCGTCCCAACATTGATCGTCCGAGGTGAAGAACGACCTCCCACCTGCGGAGACGATGTCGCACTGCTCGTCCGCCACTGCCTTCCGCTGACGCCGGTCCGCCCGCTCCGAGCGGCGCCTTGCCGTCCTCTCTGCCCAGTAGGCACGCTCGGCGTCGACGTCCTCTGGGTGGCGACGGCGCCACTCCGCCATGGCTCGCTCGTCCTCCTCGGCGACGAGGAGACGGCGCTGCCGCCGAGCATGGTCGGCGCGGTCCATGTCCGTGATGAGACGCGGCGGAGGGGTGAGGCGCTGCGCCCCCTCGCGCGTGAAGACGTCCCGGATATTCATCTGGGACCGGGGCCTCTCCAAGCGCCACGCCGCAGCGTCGTACGCGCGGGCCGCCTCGCGCGCACTCCGGAACGTCCCGAGGCCGAGCCGGACGTCGCCGGCCCGTATCTCGGCAGAGTACCAACCGTTGCGGCGCTCGCGGACGCCGCGAAAGCCCGAAGCACCCCGGCGGCGCGGCGGCATGGTGGCGCGGTGGTGGCACGCTGGTGGCGCAGAAAGCGGCGACGCGGCGAGATTGCGAGAAGAAGGGCGCGTGGCTGTTCTGTGCGCGTGGCGAAGCGCGGGACTTTATAGGCGCGCGCGAAGCGGCGCGCCAAATCTAGCGCGCCGCGTGCCGCTTTCTACCGCGCACGCGCAAACGCTTCCCGCGCGCGGTAACTTCCCGCCACCGCTGGAGAGCGCGGAACCAACCGGCGCACGCGAAAAACTGATTTTACCGCGTGGGCGCGCGTTTTGCCGCGCCTGTTGGAGATGCTCTAAAGGCACATTACGAAGGGGATGGAAAGCTGCTGGGGAAGGGATGAGGAAGCAACACAAACAGAAGAGATCCAGTAAAGCAGACTGCCATGCAAGCATGACAGGAGGTAGCCAGGTGAGCAACAGTTTAGCAAAGGCTCGTATGGAGAATCTTGGGAGTCCTCTCTTAACATTTGGTAATTGTAGAGGTAGCATCATTTACAACAAAAATAACATTTCAGATACCTCAACTTACATGGAGAAGATAAGCTTACCTGATCAACCAATATATCATGATAGTGTATCTGATCAGCCAGTCACCTTATGCATTGTTCAAAAGTTCAGCTCGACCATGTTCACCGCCAACATCTGTTTCTGGAAGGATAATAAGTCAAATAACCAATTATATTCCAAAAGAAAACAAGTAGATATGAGAAGGCATCAAGGAGATATTCAGATAAACCTATGGGTGTAATTTTAGAAAGGAAAGAAAAATCTCAGGGTTGAAACAACATTAGAAATGGGTAGACAAAACCATACTTCTAGTCAACTTCAAGGAATATCCCTCAAAACAGCATATATTCATTAATACCATCAAAATGAAGAACATGCAACCTCAGACTATTAGCTAATCAGAAAAGAGAAGTTAACTAGAATTATTTTCAGTTCATTTCACGCCATATCAAACACAACAGATGTGCTCATACTAATCTATCCTATCAACATAAGTGATCATGACAATTCAGATTAAGATTATATTAATAAATGAATCTAGGCTGAAAATATGAAGTGAACTCAGTTTTTTCTTAAATACTGGTGCCAATGGACTTGAGACTCACAGCAAGACTCTCCTCCAAGTGATAAAATCATCAATACTTTCCTAAATTTGAAACCCTTCCATTTTTGTGGATTTACAAATATTAGAAGATCAGCGGGTTAACAATATTGAATGACAGAACTGTAACTAGCATTAAGCTTCCAACTGCATGTATTAAGCTATATACATTTGACATTGTAAGTTTCATGTCGTTATCTTCAGATTCCAACTGTTATGTAGTAGTTCATCTTGAGGAAAAAACTGCACTCAGCTATGCACTACCACTACCATATAAAGTTCTTGCATAGCATATGTGAAGAGGCAGGCAAAATGACATTTAGTTCAGTTATTATACGGATAATTTTCAACCTGGTGTTACCTGTTTTATCTATGGATCCTCATACGCTAAAATTAGACAGACAGAAAGCCTGCTAGGCTTAAAGTCCAATGATAGTAACAATACTAGTAGTAATAATAATAGTGTCAGAATATTCGAAAGAAAGTTGATACTTTTTTCGACAAAGAAGGCATACCCAATGCCCCTCTGCTTCAATCACAATAAACAAGCCACACTAGAACAATGACAACCTGCCACCTGGCTACATAAGAACTGCTGACATTTACTGTACTAGATATCGCTATCAAATATTTTGTCCAGCTCAGAAGCATTACATAGAATGCCACCACAGAAAAAACGCCACAGAACAATAGCGCTACATAATGAAGAGACCATGAAGCAGCAATATAAATAACCGACATGACACTACTTAGAATTATTAGCTTATTACCAAAGGATGTCAACAACATTCCATAAACCAATTATCCAAAAAATAGCCTGTTTTTGTCATACCCACACTGTGAAAGGCATGCTATTACCTGCAGTATACACACTTTCAAATGGATGGCAGTGAAATACGGTTTCGGTTTCGGATAGCTTTTTGAACTGCAATGACTGAAGCTGGAGTACAAAGAGGCCAATAAATGTCCCCAGGAACACCATCTTGTTTTCCTCAGCAAACCCAAGTATCATAATGCTGCCCTTCTCTGGATTAAGGGAAAGCAGCTTGTCCAGTTCAATAGTTTTTTCCAGCCCCCATGAGGCAACACCATCGCAATCAATCTTCCGCTTCCATAATTGCAGGGTGAAGTCTGTCACCATGAGGAAACCCAGCCCACCACTATCTGCCCTTGTAACCGTGATGTGACCTTTATACTTATACACATCCTTGGGCATCCGTATTACAGCCAGACTTTGCCTCAGAAGATCAAATTCAAGGATGCTTGATGAATCATCAGTAAGAGTACAGTAAAGAGAGTCCCCGAGAAGCATTGCGGGCGCTGGGGTCGTTGTGATGCCAAATAAGTAGAGATTAAACCTTGACTGGGAGTCGAGGTCGGACGGAATGTGTGTCGAGATGACGTTTCCCCACGCGCCCGTCTCCGACGAGTAAACGCAGGCTGCTTGTCGACGTTGCGGATCGCGTCTGCGTGTTGCTACACAGACCACCTGGAAGTGATGGGTGTCTCCCACAGCACGAAGCACCGCCCCGGTTATCAGCACCGCCACTGCCGTGTCGAACAGCGCGGGGACGGCTAGGTGGTACTGCTCGCCGGTGATGGTGTCCCACACGAGGAATTGGTCGTGCCGAGTCTTGTCGGCGATGAGCACGAGGCCATGGCGGCAGTTGAGTAGCCGAAGGCCGTTACTGTGGGTGGACTGGAAAGAGAGGCGGCCAGGAGGGACACGGTTGGGGGCCTCGAGAGCAGGTAGGAAGGAGATACCGTGAGGTTCTTGGAAGAAGCAACCGAGGAGGGGAGGGCTGCGGCGGTGGTGGATCCGGAAGCGGCGGAGGAAGCCGGGGTCGGAGGCGAGGCTGCGCCAGCGCTTGCAGACGAGGGAGGCGCGGGGGAGGGAGGAGGGCTGCGGCGGGAGCCGGAGGAGGATCTCGGGGAGTAGGTTTTCGTCATCCAGCGGCGCCGCCGGCGGCGAGAGGTGGCGGCGGCTGCTCATCTCGCCCTAGTCACTGACGCGATGCGGGATCTGGTGAAATGAAGAGCAGGCCGTGTAACAGAGAAGAAGTCGTCGTCAAGGGCCCAGAACTGGGTTGGACACAAAAGCCCACGTTGGGTGCTAATTTATGATTTCGAGCCCAGTAGCCGAACGTATAAAAAGAACACCTCTTAAACTGGTCCCCGAGGGCTGTTTTGAAGACGGCAAATACTCCCTCCGTTCAAAAATACTTGTCATCAAAATGAATCAAAAGGAATGTATCTAGACATAAAAATGTCTAGATACATTCCTTTTGATTCATTTTGATGACAAGAACGAAGGAAGTAATTTCTTCGATTTTTTGCTTCTGTCTCTCACTATATGATTGCTTTTTTCTTCGACCATTTCTCTTTTTATGTTACTTCATTTGACACAGGAAAAATGAATCGTTCTAATGATTTTCGTCCTCATGGTGTACGATTTGCACATGCAACAGCACACAATGAGAAATGAAGTTATGATTGTTGGAAAATATATATGCCATCGTTTAGTTTCTCTATTTTTTCCGTTATACCACTCACAGTGCATAATGAGGCTAGTGTGCATGAACCTATTTATAAACTCTATTTTTAGGTGTTTTACTATTTCCATCAGTTTTTGAAAAAATTCATATGACTCTTGAGCAATGTCACTAACCACACACAAGCATGCCAGTTTTCAAGTCTAGCACATATGTGTGAGTCATATACCATAATAAGATTTTACGTATAAGATTATTTTTTCCAATTTAATCATGTGGGTCAACAGCCTGCACAACAAACCCAACTCTTCCGCCCGGGTGATGTCCTGAAAAAAACATTGCATAGATATAACATTTCAATAGAGTCGACCATAAGAAATTCTTGTATTGCACTCCAACACAGTCATCCTTAGCACATGGAGTATTACTTCCTCGAGTGAAATTCCACATCAACAATTCCCCTTCACATACATCAATAATATGAATAATTCCACATTGAGTTAAGTGATAAGGCTAGAATTCTTTTACCTGCATTGTTGAATATTGAGCAAAGTTTTAAATAGCACTCTAGCGTTTGGAGGGGGTTCACACTAAGTTGCTTAGTGCCATTTAGTGTGCTATAGGACAATTTAGCGCATTAATGCTTCTGCCACTATTTGTCATCCCCCACTATTTACAACTTTGACATTGGAAAACATATATTGGTGGAGTTGGCCTGGAATCATTGTTAGGGTTTCAAGTGGCAGAGACAGTGCATGGAGCGATTTGTAATCTCCCATGATGCATTGGGGGGTTTTCTCACCCATGTATTCCATTGTTGCTCTGATCCTTCAGTTGTGTCCGGTTTGCCACTTGCGTGGTGAATCAGGGGGGTGTTTGGGTCTAGAGATCTTTCCCACCCTTGGAGCGCTGAATGGAGAGAAGGTTTAGGGTTTGGAGAGAGAGGCGAAGATGACGAGTTCCTATAATCCAGGAAAGAAGAAAGAGAGGGTAGAGAAGGTAGAAATAATGAATCTGATCGAGAGGGGGAGCCAAAATTGGTGTGGATGACATGGAAGGGGAGGGTTCCGAGCTGTGTGATGATTCGAAAAGTTTTGTAACGAAGAGTGATGCATGTCAACACAAGGACACTCCAATGGGCTTGTTTTTAGCTCAGTGGGTGAGAACATGTTTGTTGCCAATCTAGAGATAAAGCATGGTAGAGATGGCATCTACATCTAGGAAGGAGGTCCATGGACTATATGCAAGCATGTTGTGGAGATAGAGGTATTTGATTTTGTTCGAAGCCTGATAACCATAAGTTCGAGAGATCTTGGAGTAATTTCTATTTTGTTTGACCTGTTTCTCACTTCTGGTATACTTTTATAGTTTTTTTTTAACACAGTACAACCTCGCAAGGGAATTCACGTGGAGGCAATCGGCCACGGTGGAGGTTGGATGCGGCAGCATCAGCCGTGGTAGGCGACTCTCCCGATCCGTGATTGTAGGGACAGTTGTTCGAGTACTTCTCTACTCCTCCTGATGGAGTATCGTCAGTCATGAAAAATTACTAAGTGCACATGATAGAAGTAGTAGATCAATAAGGACTGTTAGATTAAGAATTATGGGTTTAATTGTGTGGTGCTGATTAGTCTGTAAGTTGTTGTGGGACTAATTACAAGATGCACTTAAGAAAGTTCTTATTTGATTGTTTAATAGTGGAGATCCAGCCGTTCGGTCACTTGAGCAATTATTACTGCTGCCTATTTCCCCAGCCACCTCTGACTCTTCTCCGGTTTACACTCCGCCGCCGCATTTGACCAGCCCATCGCCCCCCGCGCAGAAGCAACACAGGCACAAGCACACCGCCGGCCGTAATCGATCGAGGCGAGGGACGACGGCGAAGCAATCCACCGGTCACGCCGCGCCCCTGGTTATCAAGCAAGGTACGTTCGCCGCGTCCATCAGGCTTCACAAATCTGCTCTGCATTTGGGCTGTCCGCCCGCCGGCCGCTGCGCCCAAAACCCTAGTTCGATTGCATTATAATGCCACTTTCATTCTAATCCAACGTAGTGGGATGGATTCGGCCGATTTCTGGCTCGAGGATCTAATAGTCTCGCCCGACGCCCGAGAAGATCCATCCTGCGCCACCACGCCGCCCGTCCTCCGTGCCCAAGGGCTCGAGCTTGAGCTCTTACCAGCCGGCAATGGCGCCCCGTCCCCTCCCGCGGTCACGTCCAGGATATCCGTGCAGAAGTTCTGCGCCACCGTGGCCCGATTCGACGGCTTCAAGACCAGGCTGGCAACGGAGACCGGGCTCGGCGGCATGCTCCGGCTCAAGCCGCTGCCCAAACTGAACCTCAAGTTCAGCGCCTTCCTGATGGAGAGGGTCAACGTCGACGACCGGTCCATCCGGATCGACGACGAGACCTCCATCAAGTTCTCCCCTCAGGACGTCAGAAACGTCTTTGGTCTGCCATGTGGGGCCAGGACCTTATCATCAAAGCCGGTTCGCCTGTCGGAGGCCTGCAAGGAGTTCAGGCGGGCGGCGGCCGAGATCGGTGGCAAGGGCACGCATAGCCTCAAGGCGGTGGAGGCCATTCTCCTGAAGGAGCTGACTGAGGCATCGTCGACGCAGGTCGAAATCGACTGCTTCAAGATCGCCTATGTGGTTTTCACCGTAGGACATGTGTTGTGCCCTTCCTCCAAGTATGATTACACCAGCATCGACTACTGGCAAGCACTGTGCAACATTTCAAGCATCGCCGAGTTCAACTGGTGCGAGTATGTCCTGGGACACCTCATGCCGGCCGTCGAGAAGCTCAAGGCCGACATGGAAAGAGGGTACTCCCCAATTCACCTTTCAGGATGCCATCTCTTCCTTCAGGTACGTAGCTGGCCTCTGTTTTTTACAACTCATTGCAATTGTTTTCTTACTGTAATGTAATGCCCACTAAGCATTTCATTTATGTTTTTTCCTTCATGGATAACAGATTTTTGTCCTGGATAACATGGACCTAGGCGCGGTCACCCTTCGGCAGCATGCTTCTCCAAGAATTTCCCTGTTTGACTGTGCCACGCTGAGGAAGATGATTGGCATCCTGACCACAGGTGTCACCGGGGACAAGTCTTTCTTCTTAGCCCGTGTGAGAAATTAATCTGATACTAACATATATAATACCCCCATGCATATATATTCTTGTTACTATAACCATGACATGATTGCTCCAAAAGATGCTCAAAAACACTCCGAGTATTAGTATTACTGACATCACAATTACCCCAGCAGGGTCTACGCCGCGACGATGTTGGGTACACTGTCAGCAATGCTGGACACATCGCAAGAGCCGGTGCCCACAACGAGCAGCACCCATTTGTTTCCAGTCATCAAGAGCAAACTCCAGATCCAGAGCAGTACCCAAGCTCTGCAGAAGAATTCACAGAACATTTGCGCAGACTATATCCAGAGATGGTAAGATCAGCCCACTCCCACCTCCCATTGTCTCTGTTGTTTGCTTACCAGCACTTGTCGATCTGCATCTTATTTTATCAACTGTCGTGACACTTGGGAATTTGTGTTCATCAGGACGCTGAGGCGGTATGCACACTGTTGAGGGAATGCAATGCTCGCATGTGTGCCCACATGGACGAAATGGAGCAGAAATGCCAAGCTGAAAGGCTTGATTTTGCTGATAAACTGCTGAAGCTTGTCTCCAAGAGTAGATGCACATGCAAGCCATCTACTAATTGATATCACACAAGGTGTGTTTATTTGTTTTAATTTTGTCACTCCCAGCGAACCAATTCATTCGGCATGCGTACCAAGATATCGCTGGCACACACCTCCACACCGACAACCATGATAATGCCGCTTTCCTCGCAAGCCACAGTATCTTGCTAACTTTGTGTTGATATTTGCTTGCAGGTTATGGGTTCTAATCTAGGAGCAGAGCTCTGTTTTGCCGTTCTTCAGGGCTCAGTCAGCCAAACATGCATATGGCAGCTCACGAAGTAGCTAGGCGTGGCTGCGGGGCTCGAGCTGTGTTGGTGTCTGAGTTCTTGTACTGGGAACAAGCTTCGGTAAAAAGGGAAATATGAACCTTCACTACTATTTTAAATCCTCGTGCTGCCTATCAGAAATCAAATGCACAATCTGGAACATCCTACTTTTGTTTTGCAGTCTTCCAAGTAACACTAATCTTGACCAGCCTTAATTAGCCTTTGCGCATGATTTGTAGTGCAAGGATGTGCAGTATCAAACCAGTGTGCATTTTTTTTCTCTTCACACCGGTTGATGCTCAACCGTATTAACAATAGTTTGTGTCCAAATTTTACATCGAGGATCCATTCATGGCGACATTTTGTTCAGATGGCATTGTGATGTAATGATGACAACAAGGCTGTTCAAGTGCTTCAAAATTGACAACGATTGCAACCGAATCCTTACCAACTCATCCGAAATCAAATAATTCTTGCTAGATATATAGTTGAATGAGAGTGATGTAGGGCATAAAGAATCTG